CCCCCCCCGCTGCAGGTTACATGCAGGCTGCCCAGGAGCAGGGCCGGCTCCCAGGGAGGCTTTTCTGCGGGCTCTGCAATATAAAGCTTTTTTCTGCTTTATACTGCAGAGCCTGTAGCACAGGGGTGGGGAATCTTAGGCACAGAGGCCAGGTGTGGCCCCTGGCTTGCCTGGATCCAGCCCCCGAGGCTCAGAATTGGGGAGCCCACAGGGCTGGAGCACACAAAATCTATTCGCCCCCACCCTCCAGCTCTGGTGTGTGAGGGGAATGTGGGGAGGGTCTTTCTCCAGTGGGGAGCTTCTCACTTGTGTGCAGCCCCTGACTGATTTTTCTGTGGGTCAGCAGCCCCCAACCCAAAACAGGTTCTCTGCCCCTGATGTAGTGTGTGCAACCACTAAGATTTTTAGCGGTCATGCAGTTACATTTTTAAACAACTTTTTACATCCCTAATTTTAATAGTGTTTTGTAGACTTCTCCTCCAAAGCAGCATGTGGAATTACTTTCCCTTAGACCTCAATAACTGTTACGGACACGTGACCATGTTTACCTTAGCACCCGGAGGGTAGCAGTATTCTTGTAATGTCCCTTCCATTTTAAACCATGGCAGTGATATTTCTCCAAATCCATGATTGTTTCCAACTCTTGATGCTATTTCCAGAGCACCTGCTTTCCCTGCAGCAGAAACACAAATGATTCACAACAGGGATAAGTAAACTTTCTTAGCTTTCTGGTGATTATCAGTAATGACTCCTCTGACTTTTTAAATCTTGACATGTATCGCTGTTTCAGTATGTCCAGCCACCTCACTGGCTGCACAGAGGTATTTTTTAAACGGTTAATGATTAAAGTTGTAAATAAAGCGTCTGTTTAGGAGGAAGGAGCTGCAATTACTTGCTATCCCATGAGCTCACAGCATCTGTTTCTCAATTCTTGCCATTAGGACTGATATTATTACACTGTGGCTTAGCTAGTAGGCCACTGATTATATGGGTTGTGGGGGGATTTTTTTGAGCCCAGATGACAAGAAGCAAAACTTGAAGAGATTTGAGAGACTTCCCCTATCTCCAAATATAACGAGAGCTTGATACGCCATTGTACTCCCCCGTGCTTGCAGTTAACATGCATTTTAATTAGTAGCTATCACTCCCCTCCTCTCTCAGGAGGAATCCTGTTGGCTAACCATTCCCTGAGAACATAGGGCTGTCATGGAAATGCTGAAGCAACTTCCTGTCATCCTGTATTAAACTACTTATATAACAACTGAAGCTGTGGACACAGCGTAAATGCAAGGATTGTCGTTCTGACCCCATTGAAGGCCATGACAAAACTCCTTTTGGCTACAAAAGTTCTAAGCTTTTGCCAAAGGCTTTTTGTTGTAGTAGGTAATAAATTAAACCCAATAAATAAGGCAAGAAACGAGGTTTTTCTCTCCTGCAGAAATGTCTGTAAAATAGCAAACATGTGTGAGTATATAACAAATAATTCTGGATTCTCACTCGGCTTGCTTGGCTGTATTTTGAAAACGTAGCAGAAATAGTGTACTCTCAACCAGTCTGGCTTATGTTTAAAAAGTATCTACATTCGGGATGTTGGAATATAACCAAATAACAGGGTGGGGAATCTTTTTTGGGTTGGCGGCTGATGATCCACAGAAAAATCAGTTGGGGGCTGCACACAAGTGATACGCAACCCGGTGGGGAATCTTTTTTGGGTTGGCGGCTGATGATCCACAGAAAAATCAGTTGGGGGCTGCACACAAGTGATACGCAACCCCCCCCAAACAAACCCTCACTGACATGGCCCTGACTGAGAAGGCGAAAGACCCTCCCCACGTTCCCCTCTCACACCAGAGCCTGGGAGGGATCAGGCTAGTAGATTTTGTGTGCTCCATCCCTGTGGGGGGCTGGAGTGCCGGCGTGGGCTCCCCAATGCTGGGGGGAGCCCCGAGCCTCGGGGGCTGGATCCAGGCAAGCTGAGGGCTGCATCTAGCCCCCGGGCCTTAGGTTCCCCACCCCTGCACTGATGCAGTTTATTGATTAATGGTCTCGGTTCCACTCAGCCAGCTCCTGGCTTCGCTTTATGACACAGAAAGATAGCTCACTTTATAGGGTACGCTATCTAGCTTAGGGATGTTAAAAACTGTGTAACAGGGTTACCGTGTAACCCATGAAAATCTCAATGGTTACACATTTATACTTCAGAGCCCTCAGTGTGGGTAATTGTGTAACCATTGAGATTTTCATGGGTTACACGGTAACCCTGTTACACAGTTTTTAACATCCCTAAGCTAGATAGCGTACCCTATAAAGTGAGCTATCTTTCTGTGTCATAATGAATCAAAGAACCCTAGGGTTAGAATGGACTGCAGGGTCATCTAACCTAGCCCTCTGCTGAGATGCAGGATTTTTAGCGTCTAACTGGCCTAGACAAATAGCTACCGGCCTCTTTTTGAAATCCAGTGAAGGTGCTTTTGTGACTTCCCAAACAGTTGGTTCCTTTGTCCTACTGTTCTTACAGTTAGAACGATTTTCCTGAGTTTTAATCTTAATCTGCTATGATATAGATTGAACAGATTGGTGCTGTCCTCTGCAGTAAAAGAACAACACAAGAGGCTTGCATTTCAGCAACTCTCCCTGCCTGAAAATGTAATTCTGAAAGGGTTTATTTGTGAGCTTTTTTCTGTGATTTATGAGGCTTAAAACAAATATGCAGGTTGCATGTTTGCTCTGAGGAGGAGGCATACAAGAATAATGCTGTAGGTGTGGCTTATGGCTAAATCTTTCTTCGTTTTAATTTTTAATGACTGCTTTCTTGACAGGTTTCGTGTTAACCATTTTGGCTGATTTCTCTGAAATCTTCGGTTTTGCGTCTTTAGAAAAGCATAATGCGTATTTGAGCGGTTCCATGGAATCCATATGACTCTCATCAGCAGGAGGGAAGTTCTTTGTGATACCTCGGTTGATAGCTGACTAAGCACTCGGAATATTTCTTCATTCCGTACATGCCTAACAATAGATTTAAACAAACCAACCCTGTAATTATGAAGGCCCATCCTTTTGGTGAGGGAGCCATCTGCAGGCACAACTAAGAATTACTTAGAGCTCCGGATACTCCATCATAATTATTAAATATTTTTGCACCATCCACACTTAAGCAGTTTAATAGAGGGAAAAATATTGTCTTTCCCACGCACTGTCTGATACATCAGTGCAAAGAGGCTCTCTCACCCACTTGGCCAGTAGCCACTCTGTTTGTGGCCTTCACATAATGAAAGCCTGCCAAGTAGAATACGTGGTGTCTGTCTGGGCTCGGTGTCTTTATGCTTTAGTACTACATGGGGCATCCGGTGTTGTGGGAGCAGTGATGGCTACAAAGTACAGTCAGTGCAAATGATGCTTCTTGTCAAACACAGCTAACCATGTCTTGATCAATGTAAAATCTCTTCTGTTTTTGTTAAGGAAAAGCGTCTTCACTCAAGCCGGAGAAAGCAGCTCCCTTGGTGCTGAAACCAGTAGTTTTGACGTCATCTACTCAGGTACATTTTGTGTTACAGTACTCCACAACGTGTGGCTAAAAACTGCTGTGCCTCTCTTCGGTTTCTTTAGCCTACGGACCCTGATGTTCAAAAACTGAGTAGCTGGTTAATCACTCCTCCAACTGGCTTGAGGAGGGGAATAGCAATACACTTAGAATCCAATCCGAAAGACGGCCGGCACATGTAAGAGTTGTCCCAGGTGTGTCAAATATTGTTCGAATGTTCTGATTTTGTTCTGTCCCCTGTAAAGGTTCTGGGGCTCAGTGGAAAGGCACTAGGGGATATCTGGCAGAGTGGAGCTGGGGAGGGGAGGACGGTATGTGTGACATCAGGGAGTGCCAGCTCTCTTTAGGGGTTGTCCACCTGCTGCCCTTATCCATATGCTCCGTATGAGACTTTTCTTGCTGTGAACTTAAAATAGTTGTGTTTACAGCTGGTGGTTGCAGCACATTCTTATGTTGCAGAAAGCAGTATCTATCCCACAGGGTAATTTTTCACCACTGGGTACAGAGATTTAGTTGAACAGCTGTCTTTTGTGCTATTGGCAGTTAAATGCTAAATCTTCAGGCATTGTGCTTGAGCTGCACCCTGAAATGCTGAAGCAGCCATTTGCTGTCTGGATGCTGCATTTTGTAGGATGTGTCAGGCTGCGACTGCACTTCAGGCATCTTTTAATAGGAGAATTGTAACAAGCCTTTCTAGCTTTGGCAGCATCTTTTAATAGGAGAATTGTAACAAGCCTTTCTTTCTAGCTTTGGCGTAATAGTATGAGTGTGATAGCTCATGGGTCTCCTAGCTAACGCCAAGCCGAATTTAGCATGGAAAGGATGACTGATTGAACGGTGTACCGTTTTGATCACGTCTGCAGATTGTGTCCAGAACAGTGTGTAGAGGCTTGGTGAAGGGCACCGTGCACAAACAACCCCTTCGTGTGAAATGGTACGAAAAGGCCCAGTTCTGTCTCTGGGTGGCTCCCTGGCCCTGAATGCTCACAACATTGTTGTAAAGCCCAGGAACATTGCTGTCTGGGGTTTATAGACGGGAATGGAGTCATAAAAAGGCTCACTGACTTTCCCAAGGTCACACAGAAGAATCTGTGGTAGAGCAGGAAATCAAAACAAGGTTTCCCAGATCCCAAGTTAGTGCCCTACCCAGGCCTGCCAACAGCACTTCTGGGCCTCAGGACAAAACAATCAGTCCTTCTCTCCCTCCCTTGGCCAGAGCCGCGAGCCTCCCCCCCTCCCCTGAGAAACCCTGAGCGCTTCCTCCTTGAGAGAGAGGCCCCTCTGGCCGGCTTCAGCCCCATCCCCCACCTGCCTGGAGGACCCCTGCATCTGCTACAGCCGCGCCTCCCCTCCCTTCCCCAGAGCCAGCCTAACGGTATTTTCTACTTATGGGGTAGATTGTAAGTGGCTTTGAGGAGACAAAGCAAGAGCAACTTGGGTCTGGGGGAGAGAGGGCAGGGATGGCTGGGGCTGGCCTGGGGCTCCTTTGGTGGGGAGAGCGCTCTGGGGGCTTCTCCAGGCAGGGGGGCCTAGGTTAGCCCGTGACTTCTCTCCTGAGGGGAGGCTCTGGGGGCTTCTCTGGGAGTGGGAGGCTTATGGCTCTGGCTGAAGAGGGCGCAGGGAGAGTCTCCTGGCTCTGGCCCCGATGAATGGGTTTGGGTGGAAGGAGTGGAACCACGGGCTCGCCTCCCCAAAGGGGGGCTCCACCTACTGTCCATGCCTGGGCTCTTTAAAGGCCCCAGAGGCGCTCCTGGCTGCCACTGCCATCAGTGCCCTTTTAAACTGCCGTTGCTCCCCCACCCTGGGCCCGTCGGCACACCTGCCTGACCCTTCCCTTCCTCATGCTGAAGAAAATGAAAAGTGATGCTTCATAAAATCGTAATGCTTTCCCAGATCTGACTGCTTGCTTGTTGGCCATCGGGCCTGTCCCCAAGAGACAGTGCGGGATTGTGGGCCCCTTCTCGTGCTTTGGACAGTCTAGTGTTAATAGGTGTGTTTATGGGGTGAGTTCTTTGGCAGACTTTTCAAAGGCTATTGGATCATACTGTTCAGATTACATTCCCATTCGGCCGAAATTTTTCATTTTAGTTTGCACCCATTCGAGACCCTGATGTGTTATGTTCCTAAAATCCTCTTCCCTCCTTGATGTTCACATGTTCCGTTTGCCTTCCACACAGTTTGTTTCATTGCTTAGCTGCGCCGGGGATAGTTTGTAGTAGAGATGTTTAAAGACTGGGTAATTGTGTAACTGCTGAAAAGCTCAAAACTTAAAAGCCGGCACCTGCCTGCCAGCCCAGCTCCTGGGGAGCCAGCTGTTGCCCCGATGCAGCTATTCCGATCATTACACAGCCTCGGGCTACTGATACAGAGGTAGCAGTGCGGGGTGGCAGCCGGCTCCCCAGGAGCTGTGCAGGAGGTTGTGTATAACTGTGGACGGTAACGGCTAAGCCCAGGCTTGTTGGTTATCTGTTTACATGGTTATACTTTCTAGCTTTGGTTTCTGAGGGAGAAATAAATCTGTCCAGTCTCTGGTTGCTTTTTGTTGGGAAATGCAGGGAAGACTGTTATGCTTAAAGAACTGCACGGGATCTTTTTCAGGGGGATAAGGCAAAGCCCCACATTTATTGGTAATACATGTATCCATCAACACTGTACCATACGCTTATGACATATTACGCTCATGCACACACATGTGCCCATTCCGCCTTGTTGTTACCAGCTGGTTGCTCCCCCTAACTTCACTGGCCAGATGAGTTAGATAGGGAAGGAAGAAGCCAGCCTTTTGCTGATCTGGATCATGCTCCAATGTTGACAAGATCCAGGGTCCCCTGCAAGGCACCTTACATGTATAGTAGCTTCCCTCTCATGTAGATCTATTAGTCCTCTTTAACTGTTAGTCATTTGTGGCGCCTTCTTCTAGGTGGTGTCCTCAATGCTGCCACATTCATCTTGAAAGAGATTTTGAATTTGCCTCCAAAGAAGGTGCTTGCTTCTGACTCCCAAGGCCGTCAGTATGTCTGATCTTTCTCTGTGGGTCCACCTAACTGGTCTTCTTATCCGTGGATTTGGTCCTATTTCCGTCTTCAATTGTTGCAGCTGTTTGGAGGTACCACCTTCCATGCCTCATTCATTCAACAGGGCAATCAAGTAAAGGGGAGAGATCTATTCTACTTCTACTATTCTACTTCTAATACCAAGACTTTTTCTTTACCTTAATTATTCTTAGGGACTATGACATTAAACCAAGATTTACTATACATTTTCTATATAAAAAGGCTTAATACAAAGTTACATGAAAATGCTTAATCCAGAGATTTATCTACATGTTTTCAATTACAGTAGTAAATACTTGATTTGCCTTCCTTGATGTGCGTACTCTTGTGACGAGCCAGGCCGGTTTGGGCGTAGCTGAGGGCGTCCGCTTAGGGTGAATTGCTCAAATTCGAGGCTCCTTACAGCCCCCAGACTGGAGACCTTCCCAGACAGGCCACACACCAGTCCCACAGAGCGCTCCAGATGCCTGCCTGAAGCCTCATGAGCAAAACCCCTCCGACACCCTAGCCATATCCGTGCCCCAGATGGCCCCAGGCCTCATACGCAGGTGAGGGGTCTTAGAACCCAATCCCACCTACCCTGAACAAGTTCTGTCCGGTTCCAAGAAACCAGCCACATTCCTGGTCAATTTACCCTCTGGACCTTACCCACAAATCACGCTGAGCCAATCCTTTAGAATCTAACATCTAAAGGTTTACTTCTACAATAAAGAAAAGCATGAGAGCAAGGCTGTTAAAGGATAGTACATTACATGCGTCGAATCTCCCAGTTCTCGATGCAGGCTCTAGCAGAGATGTTACAGCTGCTGGCTTAAAAGTCCTTGTTGCGCATCCTAGGATCAGGATGGGTCCACAGTTCTTTCCGGCTCTTCGATCCCTGCACTGCTGCATCTGGGATGAAGTGCTGAGCTGAGTACCAAGATGGAGTCAGCCACATGGCCTATTTATCCCTCCTTCCTGGTCACTTCTTGGCTACAGCAGGTCACCTGGCCCATGGCCTTGTCCCTGTGTTCCCTGCTGGTAGCTCCTAGGTATGAGTCACCACTCTTGAGGTGTGTCCTTGGCCTATAGAGGGCTATTGTTCCAGAGCTTTGCTCATTAGCATGTCCATAGGCTGAGCTGCTTTGCCCATAGTTCAACCACATATAGAGAAACATTTGGTATCCACACAATATATGCTTATAACTTCACATACCAACATTATCCAATCACATGAATAGCATATATGGAATCAGAAGAAAGTAGGCTTCTATTTGACACCTCACATGGCCCCAAAAGTGGCACAAAGGGGGGCCAACACCCCCCCATGGGTGCAGCAGTGATCTGGCTGCTCCCCTCAAAATCCAGTAACATGACAACTCTTCAAATGTTTCTGTACTAGAAAACTTACTTTTAGACTTGCTTGCTTGGGTCCTTCAGGGAAGAGAGCTGACCGGGGGGGGGGGGATTCTATTTGACACCTCACATGGCCCCAAAAGTGGCACAAAGGGGGGCCAACACCCCCCCATGGGTGCAGCAGTGATCTGGCTGCTCCCCTCAAAATCCAGTAACATGACAACTCTTCAAATGTTTCTGTACTAGAAAACTTACTTTTAGACTTGCTTGCTTGGGTCCTTCAGGGAAGAGAGCTGACCGGGGGGGGGGGGACTCAGTATAGGGGGCAGGGGACTGGGTGGGTTGGGGGGCACAGGACGGGGGGGTGCAAGATTCAGGGAAAGGGTTATGGGGCTCAGGCCAATGGATT